ACCATTCTGTTTTCACAGCAGAATTGCCAGTGTGAAATGCTTTTTGTTCTAAACTGCGCGCAGTGTGAATGCGGAAAGTCTTCTGTGTTAAGAACTAATCTCTCTAAAGTTCATCTCCTTCTCCTCTGAGACGGGTGTCAACTGCGAAAATGACGCAAAAGCACACTACGACGGCTAAATATTAAATTACCAAAGTAAGCGAAGGTAAGAACAACTCGCGACTAAGACTGCTACAGAGACTGACTAGAAAGCATCGATAAAGTCAAAATGCGAACCTTATATATGGTGTCTGGAAGCAAGTTCGTCACCTGCACAGTACCAATTTCCAACAAGTGCTCTCCGGAATTATCGATACGTGCTGTGCGTGTATAACTTAAAGACAAGTAAAATTAAAGTAGTACTGTTATGCAAAATTTGGGAAAAAGAACCAGTAAATTTCAATCATTTGTCGGAAAGTGTCAAACAACGAAGAACACAACAAAAGTTTGAATCAACTTGTGTGTGGAATAATACACGTTTAATAAGACGGTGAGAGCAACAATCAAGTACTATAAGCTGAGAACAGCAGCAATATTTCGTGCTTCTTTGCAGCGTTCTCGCTATAAGCTCCTACAGATGAGGTTAGCTAATGCGTGCTTTAATAAAGACTTAATATTTCACAGAAGTACACAAAGCAGAGATGAGGGTCCAAAAGAAAAGAATTCATACAGAAAATTTCGAATCTGCACTTCGGCAAGAGCGATTTGACCGTCACTTTCAGTGAGTCGCCAGATGCAATCCTCGAAACAGACTTCAAATCTAAAATTTTGTTTTACAACTACTTTCAGCATCAAACTGATAATCTGTCGCACCACCTCAACGTCGCAAGCTGTTCAGGATGAATACGTATTGATTTATTCCTTGCCATGACTGTTTCCGCTAGCATCATAGGAAAAAAAGTGCATCCACAATCTACTGGATTGCTGTATCTGTGAAATGCTTTTATCCCTCGGGCCTCTCACATACAGCAAAAAGCAAAAGATTTCGGACTTCAGGACAAATAGTAAGAATATTATCATCACCGAGGCAATCAGTGCGGGAAACCCATCTTACATGGATGCTCCCACAGGTGACCCTCCTGTGACGACTTCCAAAGGTTACCTGAAAATCTTAGCAACACTTCAGCCACCACCCTTGCCGTAAGACACACCAAACAGTGTGCAGGTATTTAGGGCCCGTTTTTTATTTATCTCATTTGATACTGTTCCTAATGGCGCACCGCAGAACCCTCATTCCGTATAGTTGCTTGGCTTATACCACATCGACATCTGCTAGAGAGACTACAGTAATTCGCATAGACCTGTTCTGTCAAATACGATACAGTACAGTATGACGCATGGAACAGTCAGGACTTGCAACCACTGTGCCAAACCGGCTAATGCGTTTCCAGGCCTGCATGACGATGAGGTTGCAGTCTGTTTTGCAACTTTGAGTGGAAAAAAAGTTCAGAAAAAGTAAAAATGAGAACCAGCCAACTGCAAACAAAAAATAATATAATTATTTTTATATAAAAAAAAATAATTATAAAAAAATAATATAATTATTAATTACAGTAAATATGATACTGGACACAGTAAATCAGAGGACAATGGTAATGTTATCTAATAAAAGCAACCTTCTGGCAACCAAAGCGTGCTCTTCCTCGGTCAAATCCACTAACTGCCGCATTCGCTCCATTTGTCGTTCTTTATAGCAACTGAAATTTGCAGTGATATAAAACCTGCCGAGCCTATCAGCTCCTTCCAAAATATAGCAAATAGCGGCACGCACCAGGGTAACTGGTGCGAAACCCATTTTGTGCAATTCTGTCCGGCCGGCATTTCTACATCACCGTTCAGCTGACGCTCGCGCAACTCTGTTCAGAGGAAACTCGCCGTTAAAAGTGTTTACTGCATCACTGCTTGGTACGTGCTAATTCTAACATCAAAACTTCTACTTGTCTGTACATGAGAATTAGGCTTGCGCGGGAATGAATTTATGTGTAGGCAGGGAGTATTATCCTAAAATTTCAGCTTCCTAGCTTTTGTGATTTCTGAGTTATTAATTTTGTACCAGAACTTGCGCATATTCACAGCGGGGATTTAGGCGTGCACAGGACTGAATTTATACCGGGCAGGAGTATTATTCTAAAACTTCAGCTTCCTGGCTTTCATGGTTCTCGAGTCATTAATTTTGGCGTAAAAAACTTCGCGTGTTCCTACGTGAGATCTGGGCATGCACGGGGGAATGAGCTGAAATTGAGTTTGCGGAGTAATATGCGGGCATGAGACATTCTCCTAATGTTTCAGCTTCCTTCTTAACTCTTCTGCTTCCAGAGTTATTAGTTTAGGCGACAAAACTCTTACGTGACCGTATACGAAGCATAGGCGCGTGAATGCTAAATCTGAGTTCGCGAGACCCCTTAAAACTGCTTCCTAGCTTCTCTGGCTCTCGACCTGAAACTCCGAGATAAAATTTACTCGGAGCACACACACATGCACACAGACACACACAAAACACACGCAAACACACATACAAAAACATAAACAAACACACATACAAACACACACAAGGTCTCGATAATATAAGTTTTGTACAACTGTTGCAGCACAAAACGGATAGAAAATCAAATTCCCATAGGACTGATTCTCAATCCTGAGTTATGACAGATCCTTAAAGAAAAAAAGTTGTTTTTTCATCTTTCCACATTTTGAGAAAGTAACTAGCGCATATTCGACTGGAAATTTTTAAAACAATGGCATAACAAACAGCTCAATGTACGAGGAAACCGATGGGAGAATGCGTTTTTGCGCAATTTTGCTCAGCAAATTTTGCTACTAAAACGTTTACTGCTTCACAGTTTGATATGTGTATTGTTCTTGAAATATTTTAATCGGTTTTTTTTTTTTTTTTTTTTTAAA